AGCCGACATAAAAGCATTCCACCATCTTCCTTTTGAACATTAGGATCAACTTGTTCCTTCAGCAACAGTTCGACTATTTGAATGTGACCATTTTGACAAGCCAGCATAAAAGCATTCCAACCATCTTTGTCTTGAACATTAGGATCAACTTTTTCCTTCGGCAACAGTTCGACTATTTGAGTGTGACCATATTGAGAAGCCAACATAAAAGCATTCCAACCATCATTCTTTTGAACATTAGGATCAACTTGTTCCTTCAGTAACAATTTAACTATTTGAGTGTGACCATTTCGACAAGCTGACATAAAAGCATTCCCCCCACTGTTTCTTCGAACATTAGGATCAACTTTTTCCTTCAGCAACAGTTCAACTATTTGAGTGTGACCATATTGAGAAGCCAACATAAAAGCATTCCAACCATCTTTGTCTTGAACATTAGGATCAACTTTTTCCTTCAGCAACAGTTCAACTATTTGAGTGTGACCATATTGAGAAGCCAACATAAAAGCATTCCAACCATCATTCTTTTGAACATTAGGATCAACTTGTTCCTTCAGTAACAATTTAACTATTTGAGTGTGACCATTTCGACAAGCTGACATAAAAGCATTCCCCCCGCTGTTTCTTCGAACATTAGGATCAACTTTTTCCTTCAGCAACAGTTCAACTATTTGAGTGTGACCATTTAGACAAGCCAACATAAAAGCATTCCAACCATCTTTGTCTTGAACATTAGGATCAACTTTTTCCTTCAGCAACAGTTCGACTATTTGAGTGTGACCATATTGAGAAGCCAACATAAAAGCATTCCAACCATTATTCTTTTGAACATTAGGATCAACTTGTTCTTTCAGTAACAGTTCAACTATTTGAGTGTGACCATTTTGACAAGCCACCATAAAAGCATTTGCTCCATCTTCTTGTTGATATTTATAATCAACTCCTTTCATCAATAGCTCAACAACCTCATGGTTACCATTGTAGCTAGCAATCATTAAAGCATTTGATCCATTTGATTTTTTTAGGTGAGGATTAGCATTAGCATGTAGTAACATGTGAATGATTGAAATGTGATTAAATGCACTTGCTATCATTAGTGCAGTTAATCCTTTATTGTCTTGAATGTTAACATTAGCTCCAGCAGACACTAAACTGTCTACAATGTCCTCATGTCCTCTTTCACAAGCTAACATTAGTGCTGTCTTGCCTTCTTCATTAGTATGATCAATATTAACAGTTTCTAGTTGAAGAAGAAACTCTACTGCTTCATTATTACCAGCTGTGACTGCCTCAAGGAGAGCTAGTTCAAAGGTGAAGTTCATATTCTCATCTTCTTGAAGGACAGGATGATTATTAATGTATAAACTAAATATACCAATGAGGCGTATAAACTGTAACTTTCCTCCAGTATATTCTATTAGACTATCAGCAGTAAAATTAACAATCTGCAACTTGATGACAATACATCCTTTAAAAATTGTGATATGCTTCAACAATGATTGTACAAACCCTTCTGGTAACAAATGTTCAATTAGAAGTTTCAAATTGCTTAGGCTACTACGATACCATGGATTATGAAGCTTTATAACAATATGGGGCATGTTAGTTAAATTTGGAATATGTTCCTGGTAAATTTCTATTAATGACTTATGAAGATGTGCCACATTAATTGAAGATCTAAATGTGTTGACTTTTGTCCTGTGATTTTTTAGTTCACTCACAATATTCATCTCATTTCCTTCACCAAAAGTAACACCATTCAGAAACTCTTCACTCAAATCTACTATCAAGTTGCAGTCAATAAAATCATAAAACGGATGAATAATATTGAAAGTTTCATTTAAAGATGCATCTGTTAGCTTATCAGTCCAGTTCATGTAAGTCTCAATCCATCTTCTTAAATTAACGAGTAGCGTAGGATCTGAAGCTTCTTTTTCATCAAATGCTGTTCGTACCTTTGTCATTAAACTAGTAAATGATTTGTTGAGCTCTATTAGTGAATGTGACACTTCTGTTTCATCTTCTTGTGTGTTAAACATTATTTCCTCTCTTTGTGTACTACCCACAGCAGTTGCATTACTATCATTAGGTACTGAAGGATGTCCTTCAATCATTTCTTTGATATTTTGTGCAAGAGTGTTTTCTCTTCTAATCTTCAATGCAGTAATGACATCATTCCAACTTGCCTCAGGAGAAACAGAGAGCCATTTTGAATACAATTTCCTCTTTTGGTCGTCCACACTGGAACTTTCAGCTTCAATTTTTAATACATCATGTTGTGTTATTCCTGGTAAGCAGTAACCAAATAACTGCCAGTCAACGAGTGGTTCAAGCCATTGAGTTAGCAATGAAATATCAGGACGATCATCAATGATAGGACCAGGATTGAGTTCAACATCTCCTGATAAGAGGAGGAGCATACGTAGACAAACAATCAAATAGAGATCATTGTAAATCAGGTTAGAACTGCTGCCTCCAGGTAAGACTACTGACTGGAGGTAATTTGTATCAGTAACAGTAACACCAGTAGTACATTGTACTTGGTAGCAGTTACCTAATAATAAAATACCAGTAAATATACAAGTACAAAGTTGCAATTGTTGTTTACCTGTTGGAGGAATCATCAAGATGTGTCTTAAAAAAGAGAGAAAAAGTAGGAAAACAATAAGAAACAGAGCTGCTGGCAGTTTAGATGTCTTCTCTCCTGATGAGTGAGTGTGGCAGCCATTAGCGAGTCTACTGGAGGCAGCTTGACAGTAGTTCCACAGTCCAATACTTGCTCTCCATTGAGAGACATCAATCATCTTGTAATTGTTAGCACCGTTACAACAAATACACACAAGTAGTTTCTTTATCCAGTTACTAATGGTAAAGAGCACAATAGAAGTGGGAGTGTGTTCATGGATCATTGTTGTATTTGTAATAACTATACATAGTGTTACTCTACTGTTATTATTGTCATTCTAGGTATTATGATTAGCTAAATTTGGGTATTATGACTAAATTTGGTCACTTCATGACATGCATGTAGTTTTTTTATAAATGACCCAAATTTTCCACAGAGTACCTGTATATTCCTGTACAAAATACTTGTAAAATTAATTAGGCCTATAAGAGGGTGTAAGACTAAAGTGGTGTAGTTTCTGCATCAGTTGACCCAAGTCAAAGTCCTCTTTAGAACATGTGCCATGCAAGATGATTTACATGTATTAGTGGAGGTAATGTTTGTGTATTTCCCTGTGGAAAGTTAAGTAGTGAATTTGATATTTGAAATTTTGCACCATGTGCCATTGAGCATGCTCAAATTGGAACAAAATGTTGGATTTTATATTGATGATTTTTGCATTGAAACACCAATTGACAATATTAATTCCTCGCCAATAAATCATCTGGTATAGTAGTTCCTCCATAACCCATGATACTTATTAAATGCCATTCTAGTCTTGCCTCACCTGTGGAGGAAGGGTCTGGAGACACTGCTATCTAAAATTTATGCAAAAAGACAACATGGTTGGCTCTACATCATGTGACAGAGCAGACCTTTTCAGTCAAGACAGCTGAAACAGATGCTTTGCAGCTAAGATAAGACAAGGATAGAGTCTCTTGAACATCTTTTGCAGATTTTAGAGCAGCAACTTATCACAGAGTGCCATAGTATTTACTTATTATTCTACCATGCCTAGTTGTAATTGATGAATCAGATTGCAGAATACCAGGTTTCTAAATCGATTAGATACCTCTCAGGAACACTTAGAAACCTGGTGCTCTATGCTTATGCTCTTATTAGTCCATTTGTCAAGCTTGGTTGATTCTTTACAGGCCTAGCCTGTTAGATATGTTGTATGTATGTCAACTGTGGTCTTATATTATCAGCAGCTAGTTTTTTTTCAAGTGTTATGATAGAAGTTTGTTATACACCTTGGTATCATCAGTTTCTATGGCATTTATTAACCTCGGGACTGCATTGCTCGGTTAATGAATACCATAGAAACCTCTACCTTGGTGTATAACCTATACTTAAGTATTTACTTACATGTATTTAAAGTCTCTGCATTGCACTGACTGCAGTCTGCAGTCAACCACTTGCCGTTTGCTTATAATATCTTGCTTGATACTTCCTCTGCAAGAGTATAATTAGTCAGTTCTTACTAGTTGGTCCTCCTATCATCACTCACATCTACTCTTGCTAATATTTGATGCTGTAAGATACCCACTGGTCAAATTAATAATAATAAATGTACATGTACATGTACCCTCTTCTTTATATTGTGGGCGTGGGTCTTATTTTGAGGGAATTGTGAATTTCACAAAATATGTATTAATATACTTGTACTCATGTGCATATATTGTATTTCAACTTTTCTTTTTGTATGTTTGAGTTCCCTTTTGCTGAATCTAAAATTAAGGTTGTAGATAAACTTCTTGTATATTATTTTTAATGCTGTACAATATTCACTGGATACTGTTCTTTGTGGAATAGACACTAGCAGCATCTTCTTCAAATAAGTTTGATACATGTCATTATAGACACACAATATTATAGACACACAGTATTATATAAAATAACAGAAATACACATGCATATAGCAATAAGAAAAACAAAACCAAATATTTTAAAGTGAAAATACATTATCACTGGAAAATTACCACATATGAATGAGGATGCCATGCTAACAATTTAAACAAATAAGCAGTTTATATATCTTTAGGCAAAAAGTAAAAATCTACTGTACATGTAAATGTAAACTGTCACACAATAAGTGATGTACTAAACATGCATCTACTATGTACTCCACTTTATATCTATAAAGCTGTCTCCTGCTGAATCTTCATCTTTAAAAAAAATCTTTTCATACTTTGATATCTGAGATCTACTGGTTTTTGATTTTTGTGGAGATGCTGATGAATGTACATGGCCAGCATACTTCTTTAGCAATTTAGATACTTTCCCAGTCTTGGTGTCGTGTTTTGCTGAATAATTACTATCTTGAAGGGAATCTTCTTATACATGTACTACTGAAATCTGATACTGCACTGATTTCTGATCTTTGTGGAGATGCTGACAAATGTACATGACTAGCATCTTCCTCTAGCAGCAATCCAGATGTTTCCCGTACAGTACATGTACACGTACAGTACATGTGCCTCATGCAAAACCAGAGTGGCCCCAATTAGTATATTAAAGTCCTTTTAGTCTGTATCATGTACATGTATGTCTGGGCGTGGTGGGAGGTTGGAACTAGTTAATGTTTTACATTCTTCTACATGTATATGCACATGTAAAATATATAATTAATTGCATGGTGTGGTCACCAAATGGGTGTGTCTTTATTCTACAGTTAATTGGTCGAGTGGCATCATTTCTCGGTCAAGAGGTTTGTGTGTCTGAGTTTGTTCCACAGTTACCAGCTTTAGCATCTGACGCCATGTTCCATGTGAGAAAGGGTAGCGGTTTGTGCATCTCAGTATACTCTTGGATACTATTTCTGTATATTTTAGTCCTTTGCTATATGCTGTAAAGACTTGTGTTCAGTAATAGGGCCAGCATCTACTGAGGAAGTTATTGTGAGTGTATTTTATAGAGTTTATATGTACAAGTATATTTGGTTTGTACATGAGTAGTACAGTGAGTGTATAAAATAGAATATGTTTTGTTTTTTTCTGCATACAATCTACTGTACATCTGCCAATCCCCAAGCAAAAATCATGCCAAAATTTTATGTTGTACATGTACATGTGTACATGCAATAACTACTTGTCTTTATTCATATGCATGTACATGTACATTCATCATTCTGTGTTCATTCCTTTTACTCTCTCTCTCTCCCTCTCTCTCTAGTTGCCATATTTCATTCAGTTGTGTAAAGATGAAGTCTGGGGAGTTAGAAAAGTAAAGAAACATCATCAATATTATTAATTATTGTTTTTGTATGCTACAAAGGACCTTGATGATGTGAAAACTGGAGTACTGGCTCATCTATCGGAGTTCTTTGTGGTACATGTACATGTACATACACTGCATTTGTAGCTGTGAAATGTACATGTACTATACATGTAAATGAGAGATGAGAGTACATATACCTCTACAGAATGTATTGCATCACTTGCATGTACATGTAATTTGCCGATTAAAAATAATAAACCAATAACATGTATGTGCATGTACATGTATATCTCTATAAATGTATTACATTGATTTTTTCATTATTTTATCATTATACATGTACATGTACATGTAGGTGTTACCCTCTGACATTAGAAAGGAGAACTTCCCCTCTATATTAAACGGGATCTTGGATACTGAAAATGAGAAGAACTGGAGATACAGGGACTCACTGGCCGAGTAAGTGTACATGTACATGTGCCCTCTTCTTTATACTGTGGGTCTTATTTTTGAGGGAATTGTGTATTGTGTACTTCACAAAAATTAAATCCAAAAAAACTAAAGTGTATGCACGTCAATAGATGTATCATTATGCTTTAGATGTGAAGAGTACATGTATGTACCTACATACATGTACTTTCCTGTGCAAAGTGTGGGCGAGTCCAGAAACTTATTATTATTATCATTATTATTATTATTATTATTAAACTTTATTATTATTATTATTATTATTATTATTATTATTATTATTATTATTATTATTATGTTTTCCAATCTCTCCTCCTATTTACTCTTCATAGTACTAATGTACAATTATACAATATACCATATTTTACCGTATAAACGCCTGGTCCAAATAAACGCCTGTCACTAATATATTCTAGCTATAGATACGCATATTTGTACCAAAAATAATGCCTCATTGTTTAGATAGCTCCAAAGTGCTTATTAGTTAGAGCCTGGTCTAAATTGAAAAGGTTCGATTCCCGCTCAGGGTCATTTTTTAATTTTTTCAACAAATTTTTTTTGCAGCTAAGAAATAAACGCCCGGGCGTTTAATTGGTAAAATATGGTACTTCTCCTCCTCTTATCACTGGACAATCAGTGACACTAAAAAATACCACGGCCTAGCAAATTGACAGTTTGGAATTTTGAGCAGCAAAAATATTAAAATTGCTATAATACTACACATACACAATGTATAACAAGAGTACATGATGTATAATTAATATACTAAGCATTTATACTTCAAAGTTTTTGGAGTCATCTATTACTGAATCTAAAGTTAGTGTAGAAGGAAAACTTCTCAAGCTACTAACATCTGATACTGTATGATATCCACTGGATACTGTTATGTGAGACTCGAATGAATATACACTAGCAGCATCTTCTTCTAGTTTTGCATTGCCTTTCTTATGCATGTAACTATAAATCAATGCAGCTATTGCATTATTTTTGGCTAGTGATATTGCAGTGTTACCTTTTTTAGCTTTAATAGTTAGATCAGCTTTCCATTCTAATAATAACTTAACTACTTTATCATGTCCTCTGGCAAGCATTAA